GTGGGTGGGGGAGCATTTACCGTCAACGAGGGGCTCTTAGCTAGAGGGATGGCGCTGAAGGAGCTGGAGACCTGATCCCCAGGAGAACCACTCCATCTACCTGCAGAGCCAGACGGGCATCTCCAGGGCTGCCCTGGGAGGGGAACGTCTGTGCCCTGACTTGTGCCCCGTGGTGAAGGCGGCCCTTCGGTGCCCACCGCCCCCACAGCCGGTCGCCACGGGTCCCACCGTCCTGTGTGCTGACTGCTTCCACTGATCTCGTGGGCAGTCAGCCTCCAGAGATGGCCCCTGCGACCTAGGCCTCCCAGCCTCCGTGCCCTTGCGTGTTGCCCTCCCGCACTGGATCCAGGCTGGCCCAGTGTAACCAGTCGCAGGGGATGGAAGTAGCCGTGCCACCCAAGGCGAAGTTGTGGGAAGCCGGGCAGCTTCTGCCGTGGTCCCTTGGGATGCTCACGTTTTTTGGGATACTCTCTCTTGGGTCTCCGCCCCCATGCTGGGAGAAGCCACGGTGAGCGGTGCCAGCCAAAGCAGTGTCCACTGCCCGCCGTGGGAGGGAGAAAGGGCTCTTGGCCCTCCCCCGAGGCAGGCTCCCTCTGGCTGCCGCCCCAGCCACTGTCTGACCACAGTGACATGAGTGACCACAAGTAATAGCCCCGCTGGGCCCGTTTTGCACTCAGAAGCCCAGGAAGGATGATAAATTAGTGCTCAGAGCCCCCAAGCGTGGGGGGAGTTGGTCGCACGGCAGTTGAAAACTGGGACAGCATGCGTCCAGGTGACTGCGTGCACAGAGCTGCAGAGATGGGCAGGGATCCCCCGTTGGGGTTCTGACTTCAGTGCTCAGGCCATGTTCTCTGGTCTGCCCAGGACCCTGTGGGAAAATAGTGGGGATGGGTTGACTCAAATGTGGGCCGATTCAAGAAGCTACGGAGGCCGACAGGCCCAGAAGTGACAAGGATGAGCGATGAGTGTTGGCCTGTGTTGGGAGAACTGCGCAGTCAGGACCTGCTCCTTTCACAGACTGACAGACAGTGGCCGGACGCTGCCTTATACGCTTGACGTGTCTCTGCACCCCTTCTGCCGGGCGGTCGCCAGGCACGCCACATGTCTCAGCATCCCTGTGGCATTAAGTGGTTGTGTCTCCTTGACCCTAAGGAGCAGGCAGGTCAGTCCCTTCTCGCGGAGGAACCTGGAAGTTGAGGCCGACCCTGATCCCTGCCCTGAACACTCAGTCTGGTGGGAGACACGAGGCTTCTGCCAGTCTGGTGGGCGAAGGCCAGAGTTGCAGTCTCAGGAAGCCCCTGGCCCACTGCAAGGACACAGGATCCAAGCGGACAGATCTATGCCTCTTTCCCCTTCTATGTGCTTCCTCCATCCCAGATCATCAGAGGAGGTGGGGTGGGGGCCAGGGCCCCTGGTCGTATGGAACCTTTTGAGAAACTTTCAGTGCTGGCCGAGCCAGGCCAGGCCCCCTGGGGTGACGGCTGCCTCTCCTGTCACTCAGGTCCCTGGGATGTGCGGGGTACCCCAGACAGAGCGTGTTCCTCGGCCCCTGGCCCCCAGGAGCCCTCACCATTGACACTTTGGGTGGCAGGGGCTTGACAGAACCCAGGCAGCCAGTGCTGCCTGAGGCGGCGGCGGATGAGACAGAGCAGAGCTCAGCGGAGCCGCCAGCCCTGTTCAGCGGGAGGAAGAGTAGGTGGGTTTGTTGAATATACTCCCCATTACAGTCAGTTAACCTTTATGTTTCCCAAATGAAAATTGTATAAACCTGAAATTTTCGTTGATCAGGTTGCCTGGAAACAGGCAGCAGGTTTTCATAAGACAATACAGTAGATTGTCACCGATAGGACTATTAGGAAGCGAGCCGCTTAGCGTGTTATTCCGGAGCCCGGTGTTGGCGTCGGGTAATTATCTGTCTGCCTCTGCACAGCACACCTATCTCCCCAGGCCTGGGCAGGCGCTGGCAGATGGGGCTTCTCAGCCTGCTTCTGAGGCCCAGGGGTGAGACCTGGAGTCCAAGAGCACAGTGTCAACCCTGGGCTTCGAAGAGGCATCTGAAAGACCCAATTCTCGTGAATTTATTTCCTACGAATCACCCCGCCCCGCTTGCAAGAGTAATGCTCAAAGCAAAAAAACTGGGAGAATAAGCAGTAATGGCAGCATGTACAAGGGAGGGACTTCCCTGGTGGTCCGGTGGTGAAGAATTCGCCTCCAGGGCAGGGACGCGGGTTCCATGCTTGGTCTGGGAGCTAAGATTCCACATGCTGCGAGACAGCTAAACCCATACAACGCGATGAAAGATCCCGCATGCTGCAAGGAAGATCCTGTGTGCTGCCACTGAGACCCAATGCCACCAGTAAATTAATAGTTTCTTTTTTAAAGAATGCACAATGGAAATAAAGAACAAAGTCACTCAAGACGAATTTGGTGTGGTTTTTTTTTTTAGTATTTTTCCCATATGTGATACATACACTTGCTTCTTTTCCACTGCCACTTGCTTTTTCCCCCACCTCTTGCAGTTCAGGTGACCAACCATCCTGGTTCACCCAGGACTGAGGTTTTCCAATACCAATGTGTATTCCTGTCAGCCTGCTTCTCCGACTCTGCATAGCTTTCAGTCTGCTTGGGTGAGCCAAACTCAGCCTAACTCTCTGTTTTTGGAATGTTTGTATTTCCTTTTTAAAAAGAGTATAATTAATGCTTGTGGTGAATAGCCTCATCCCTGTGGGATAGGTCTCTGTACATAGGATCACTGGTCACAGGATGTGTACATTTATGGCTTTCACTATTCATCAGGTTGCCCTCCAGAAAAATATGTGCCAATTTCCACCCCTGTTCCCCATACTCTCCGGGACTCTAACATCAAATAATCCTTTCATTGCAGTCAGTCTGGGGGGTGAAAGATAATGTCTCATTCGGGAACGTATGCTTCTTTATTGGACTTTTGTGAATTGCCTGTTCGTGTCCTTTACCCATTTCTCTTTGGGGATGCTCGTTCCTCTTAATCTATAAAAACTCTTTGTTTTAAACATATCAGTCATGAATGTTGACTCCTTTGGGCCATTTTTTTAAAAACGTGTGGTTATCACTCTTTGAAGAGCAACAGTAATGCTTATTATCCAGCATCTTTGAAGAAAGAGGAGTTAATATTTTAGGTAACTAAAGCTTCCCCTAGCCTTAAGCACAAAAGTTTTTTTTAATTGAAGTATTTGGAACGAGAATATCTCTAAAATGGATAACCCATGTAGGTCCTTTCTAAAACAAAGTACATCACACACAATTTTAACTTTTTCTTCACCTCTCAATGTGCCGTGGGCTATAGTAATTTTCTGTGTGGTGGCGGCCCCTCAGCAGTGGTTGAGCAGTGTGGCGTTTGGGCTCCTGTACCATGTGGCCCCAGACTGCCTCTTAGCAAAAGACACCTGAGTCTTTTCCGCATCCCCATCAGGCTGTCGTGCTGTTCGTCTTTGCGTGCGGCTTTAAGCGCCCCTGCCTTGCCCTACAACATTCCGTCCTCATCAGCAATGGGACTGATTACCTTCTAGGAAGGCTTGTTAAGTCTGTCTGTAAACTGGAAGCACATAAAGCGCTGAGCAAGGGCCTAAAGAACACTAGTGAAATAACGGTGTAGGAGCTTCATCAGGCAACAGTTTTACTTACGTCCTGGGGTTTCTATTACAGTACCATTAAGGTTGTTAAATAAATGACTTCTGGATGTGGGCAGAAAAGGATTAAGAAGTTTTGGAGGCAGAGGGGGAAACAGAAAGGAAAGATTAGCAACCACTTGAAGACATAGCTGCAAAGTGAGAAACCGGTAATCCGTGTTTAATCTTATTACTTCTGTGGGAGTGTGCTGGGGCAGGTTTTATGGAGATGGTGGCATCGCTGACCTAGAAATTTTAAAAATCCAACTTCCTGGCCCACACCTACTGGGATATGGCTTATAAGTGAGTTTCACAAGCCTTTGGATGCTTGGTTTTCTCATCTATGATATGAAGCTAGTAAGACTTAACTTCAGTTCAGTTCAGTCACTCACTTGTGTCCAACTCTTTGCAACCCCATGGACTGCAGCACACCAGGCTTCCATGTCCATCACCAACTCCCAGAGCTTACTAAAACTCATGTCCATCGAGTCGGTGATGCCATCCAACCATCTCATCCTCTGTCATCCCCTTCTCCTCCTGCCCTGAGACTTTCCCAGCATCAGGGTCTTTTCCAAGGAGTCAGTTCTTTGCGCGAGGTGGCCAAAGTATTGGAGTTTCAGCTTCAGCATCAGTCCTTCTAATAAACACCCTGGACTGATCTCCTTTAGGATGGACTGGCTGGATCTCCTCGCAGTCCCAGGGACTCTCAAGAGTCTTCTCCAACACCACAGTTCAAAAGCATCAATTCTTCTGCACTCAACTTTCTTTATAGTCCCAACTCTCACATCCATACATGACCACTGGAAAAACCAAAACCTTGACTAGATGGACCTTTGTTGGCAAAGTAATGTCTCTGCTTTTTAATACGCTGTCTAGGTTGGTCTTAACTAGCCAGTCTGTTTAATGAGAGACAGGATCAGATAGCCTGATATGAAGAGTCACTGACCTGATGGAGTCTGAGAGAAATGCGTAAACATGTACAGGGCCGCACAGTCATGACGGATGATTACTCTTGCTGCTGTTACTACTCACAGCCATTGCCGGTCTCCTTACCTCTCAGGCCTTCTGCACAGGTTTCAATCTGAGCTCCAACCCATGCCTATGCCTCTTCAGCTGACATCCTGGCCACCCCTCCAAACCCAATCTCATCCTTGTAGGTTTTTCTAAAGCAGGATTTGCACAAGTGGTGTGTTTTCTTCAATATTTGTTTAGCAGGCCATTTACTCGGCATGGCTATTTTTACAGTGAGTAAGGAGCGAGGCTAAAAATAACTTAGCTGGTAACCAGATCAGTTCTGCATTTGACATTTACATGGAATTCATTTGCATCTCATTTGTTCGCCTTTCTGTTTAACAGGTAGAATGTAAGAAAGCTCAGCCGAAGGAAGTCATGTTCCCACCTGGGACGAGAGGCCGGGCCCGGGGACTGCCTTACACCATGGACGCATTCATGCTCGGCATGGGGATGCTGGGTGAGTCTGAGCCAGGGCCTGGGGACCGGCTCACCCTCCAGCTGGGCAAGCTGCTTCATCTGTCCAAGCATCAGCTTCCCCATCTATCTATGAGGATGGTGATCCCTCTTGCAAGACAGTTGTGACCGCCAAATTAGCAGTAATAGACAGGTGGAGAGATGGGCATCTTGTCTTATGCCTGACTCACCGGAGATACCTGATATTATTTTTTTCCCCTTTCCATTCCCTTTTTCAAAAGGAGGAAAAGTTACTCTCTTTGCCTCAGGCTTCTCTACTGACAGGAGCTCTTAAACACATAGGACTCCTAGCTGACTTAAACTTACGTGGGCTGAGGCTACATTGTCTAAAACTTGGAAGAGGAGGGGATATGGCAAGGGTGGGCGATAATCCTGTCTGTTTAAATGATTAACATTTTTCTCTTGGGATATCAAAATTTGCATTTAAATGGATGTCTTAAATAACCTGTTTTATTCTTTATTTGCAAAAAAAAAAAAAAAAAGGTGAAAGACGAAGTGTGTTTGTTCTGACGAAAAATGATCTCTCCTGGCCTTTAGAGAAATTGAGTTGCACATTATGCCCCTTCCTTAAAGGTATCGCTGTCCGTCCTGTGTAGATAATTGAAAATCTTGCCGCTTAAATGGCATGAAAGATGGAGAAAGCAGTGGAGAAGCGTAATGGTGTGGTTCGCAACAATAATTAGAAATTTCAAGGCGAGAGAACGGTATTTTAGTGCAAGTTATTGTGTGTTGGGAAAATACTAATTAAATGAGATAAATGGTAGTTAATGGTGAAATTCCATTCAGGCACACAGCCTGTCTAGTTTTAATGGGTTTCATTTGGTTTGGCTAAGAGTCTCTTCTATATTGTTTGATAAGCTCTTTGTGTATTTTCAGATTTGCTGGTGTTTAAACCACTCCTCGCTCAGTTTTAAATTTATAAAACTTTTCTTGGCTTTATAAATTCTTAAAAATAATTGTATCTATTTGTCTGTGGAAATGACAGAAGCACGTAAAGTTATTTTGTGGAACTTTAAAAAGTGGAATGAGAATTCTCGAAATGGCTGAGATGCTAATTCTTAAATTAACTTTTTAACTTTAACAGAATTTCAGGGAAAATTCCTTTTGTAATTCTTTAAAAGTTGGCCAAATGGTTCTAACACTTAGGTGGAAGTTGAATACATGACAATAAATAAGAAAATTTTTTTAAAAAGAGAAATTAGAAAAAAAGAGAGTTTGACCATATATCAGAGCATAGTATAAAACTACAATAATTAAAATAGTGAGGCATATAGGAAGGCGCCTGTTGGTAGAAAAAGTTAAAGAGCCTAAACTAAATGTATTTCTGTGTACAAGTTTAATTATTATAAAGAAATTAAATTTTTAAAAAATCAGTGATAATTATTTCCTGGTTGACTACAAGACATTCATGTAGCTCTTGCTCTAAAAATAATTTTTATATGGCCTTTACCTTATGTTGTATACCCAAAGAAACCCCAAATGGATTAATTGCTTTGAATTTTAAAATCAAATCTTAAAAAAGAATTGAGCCCATTACCACCTTCTGGCTTTCAGATTCTTGAAGTTTTAAATGTTGCATATAAAGTCTCTAGGGCATCAAATGGGGAGACTTTGGGGGTCCAGATCTTCAGGAAGGGCCCCCACCTTTCTGCCTCTCCCTTAGCATCCTTTATAATAATGCTGGGAAGAGTAAGCTGGTTTTCTTCCTGGGGAGGCAGAGGTCTGGAGCGAAGTAAACTCATTCACATCAGCTGACGAAGAGCTAAGTGTGGTTCAGTTGTGCTCTCCCCAGACGCCAAGCAAGGTCTCAGGGTTCCAGAGACCAGAGGTTTCCTAATGGGAGCCCCGGCAGGGGCCTCGCTGCTGCAGGAGGCATCCAATAGCAGGCAGTCCTGGAGGCCCTCTGCCTGCCTGGCCCAGGGCCAGCACGGGGTGGCAGAGCTTAACAAGGCAGCTGTGGGCCCTGCCCTCACGGAACAGAGAGAGGTGACATTTAGCAGCACATCGCGCGGGTGTGGGGTTACTTGTGATAGAGTCGTGAGGGGCTTCACAGGCACATGGTGAGGAGCGGAAGCCAGTTGCAGGAATCAGGGAGCACCTCCCGTGCGGAGGGGACCTCTCAGCTAGGCTGCGAGGCGTGAAGAAGCCAAGGGCAATGCAGAGCGAGCAGCTGGAACCCCAAGGGCCAGCAAGCCTGCTGGTGGGGCAGGTCCAGGTGGTGTGTGTGGGGAGAGGTGATGGGCCCAGTGGTCTTGACCACAGCTGGTGGGGGCAGGCCCGAGTGAGCCGCGCTTCTCCGGACGCAGTCCGATTAGCTCCTGCTCACGGAGGGGTGGAAACGTGGTAAATGCCAGGTGTTTGCTCATCTGCCCCAACTGTGCTCTCTCACGTTCCAAGTTGTGACTTCTCTGAGCTGCCGTGAAGAGGTAGTGATGGTTAGTGTCAGATGTCCTTGTGGCTAAGTCTGTTGGTTCTTGAGGCATCACCGCCCACATGGTTCTGGTCGAGGCTCCCACCAGGGACCGCCCCGTGCCCTGGCCAGGCCCCTCGGATCTCAGAGGCTTTCCTCCTCCACCAAGCAGGCAGAGAGCTCCCTGAACTCAGCTGAACTGCTGAGCTGAACTGCTGGTGTGGGCCCATCATCCACTGCAGGAGGCCGTGTGGACCCTGGGGAAGGGCTCAGGACTCTGAAATCTGGGGATGCAAGCTTCTCTCCTGGCCAGTGTGTGACGTGGGGAGGGACAGCCCTGCTGCCCTGCAGTTACCACTCCATCGGGAGGCGGGAGGTGGGAGCCCACACTTCAGGGGGTTTTGAGTATAAATGCAACCATACTGTGCCCAGCTAGTGCTGTGTCTCATCAATACATCAATGTACTGTTTAGAAAGAAAGAATTTATGCTTAACCAAACCTCATTGAGAGGTGATGACCACTTTCAGGACACTTAAGATGTTTGAAACAAAAGAAGTGTGTCTTCCAATCAGCAAAATACAGTAATATATACTCAACCTGGGAGCAGTTATTAGTAACATACTGGGGAGCCCTGGGCAAATTACCATCCGAATAGGTGCCTGACACCCTTCCACTTGGGACCCCTTCCTGCCAGTGACCCAGAGCATCGCTTGACCTGCCTCTGTGTGTGACTTGTGCCCTGGCTCCTGCACCCTCATCCTCGGATCAGACCCCCAGTCAGAAGTGTTGGATTGTCTTTGAATTTCTGCCTCCCAAGAAGAGCAATGCACTGGCCTCCAAGCCTCCTCGCCCCTGGCTATCCTGAATCCCCCAGCTACTATGTTGAGGCCGTCCGGATGCCTGCCAAGATGGGGCATCCTGAGAGGTCCCCATGTGCGCCCCCAGTCAGAAACCAGCTCAGCAGAGGTGCAGATCAGACCCACACCCAGGAAACAGACCCACAGTCTACAGTCTGGCTGACCTGTTGCCCCCCACCCCCAGCCGGGCTGGGGTCTCCACCAGGCCTTCTCTGATGTGCTCGCCAGGACCTTCCCAGGACTGGACTCCCTTTTGCGCACGGGTGCATCTGGGCACCCTGAGCTCCCGGACTCTTGGGCGGGGAGGATGCCATCTTCTGCACTGGGAGTGAAACCCTTGCTTTTTCCCTCTAAAGGGATGGCATCGCCGGAGTCTAATCCTTTGGCAGGATGGCCTGACCTGACCCCATCAGTCCCCTGGGTCCCAGCTCCACGGTGCATTGGCCTCCATATCAGTCTTAGAATCACCATTATCGCCACCAGCACCAATTTGGTAATGAGCTTGGCTCACGCAGAAACACTTCCATTTAAGTTTGTTAAGGAGATGAGGTTCCCGTGATTAAAATTTTTATTGTTGAAAGGATAGAAAATTATGTAACACTGGTAGGGATTTTTAGAATTGAGACTATAACCCGCTAAAGCTTTTAAATCCATTCACTCAACAAGTATCTGTTGAGTACCTGCTAAGTGCCAGGCATTGTTCTAGATGCTTAGGAGGCAGCAGAGAAAGAAGTCTGTGGTATCAGGGAGCTGACATTCTAGTGAGACAGCAGACACCCTCGTCTATAAATGACTTGAAACCATGGAACTAATTTTTAAATGCCCTTTAAGATATTCTCCGTACTTTGGGAGGTCTCATCAGAGGGAGGCTGATGAGAGTATCGTTACACAGTTATTCTTTCTTGATCTCTCTTGATGTAACAACCAACCTTCTTGAAAAGAAACCTACAGCTGCTTTGGTTTTTGGTTTTCATAGCCTTTGACAGAATCATTGGAATAATCAGCCCAGTGGGAACTCCTTGAAGAAAGTGTAGGAGAGAAGGAGGTCATCGTTCCCTGCCTTTGAGATGGCCAAAACCAAAATCAACCAACACCCCTAGGAGAGGTATTTTTGCAGCCCTCAGACTTTGTTCTCTGCCTTGCCCACCCAGTGCATTAGAATCTCTGGTTTTTCTTAAATGAAGGTGGACTCAATAAAAGCAAACATGATTATTGTTGCTATATCTGATTCCTCTTGGCCTTCTCTGCCCTCAGCCACATAATCCTACTGCTTCTATCTTGACCTCGCTGGGCACATACTACGTAACATGTTTGATACTACTAGTAGAGAAACACCTCATTGCTGAGGCTTTGGAAAAAAGCTTCCTCTCACGGGCCCAGAAGTGGAGAGACACTGTTGATGGGCTGCAGAAAGCCAGAGGCATTCTCACCAACACTGTGAAATCCTGACCCAGTGCCCCCAACATTAAGCCCCTCGGAAATGAAAGCCAAAGAAAAAAAAAATTTTTTTCTTTTTGTCTGGAAGGGGCAAGGAGCTATAATCTGCTGGCATTCACTAATCAAAAGGAGATTGGCTGGAACATACAGCTGCATGCCTAGACTCATTTGTAATGTCAACTGGGATTTGTCTTTCCCCAAATATCTGTTGAGGTCATACCCAAAAGGAGGTCTCCATTTGTTCAGCTGTTTTCTGGCAAACAGAGGAAACTCAAAGTTCAGGTCTTCGTTTTCCTTCTAGAGCAGCACAGTGCACTGGAACTTTCCGCGATGGTGGAAAAACTCTGTATTTGCACCACCCGGGCTGGTAGCTGCTAGCTACATGTGCCTATTGTGTATTTAAGCTGGGGCAGAAGAACTGGCGTTTTTTTAATATAGTTTATTAGATTAAATTTTAATGGGATAGCGCAAGTCTGGAGGAGCCCCTGCAACTCCAGGTGATGACGGCGGTCCAGGTCCTTATAGACGGTGGCCTGGGAAGGGCTCTTGGCACCTGGTATCACATCTGTATACAGACCTCATGGAGCTGCCTCATGCCTTGGTGCCTGAGGCATGCTGTGCACACCGCAAGCAGATTGTCCCTCACTGGCAGCTCCCTGGATAAACAGCCCTTGTCTCTTGTCTCTTTCAAGTCGGGGCCCTCGGTGGAGCAGTTTTCCGTGACTCTGAGTTAGGTGAGTCACAGAGCCAGGAAGAAAATTTGTCATGTGCCCATCTAAAATACAGACATCCTTTAGGGTTGGAGCAAATATCTAGAGCCACAGTTCTGAGAATTCTTCCAGCATCGCCCAAATGATTGGACTGACAAATTCAAAATCTCTTGTTGATTTCTGATTTCCCCCCCCCCCAACAATGGAAAGCCTGTCTGCACAAAAGGTGGTCATCCAGGCAGAAGGTTTGGTTTTTTTCTTTAGTGACAAAAGATAATTACTGTGGGATTGATCAGGCATCCAGAGTACTGGAGCAAAAAAATTGTGCAGTGGCCAGTGCGGGAGGGGCCTGGCTGCTAATGGAAGCGGTGGCTGGGTCATCTCACTGTAATGTGGCTTGATGGAGCGTGTGCATGGGGCCGCTGTAATGTGCTATTGATATGCAGCCAGCCAATTTCCCCAGTGTGGCTGGGGCTGTGAGCCGCTGGAGCAAAGCGGGGCTGCACAGCAGTAAATGAAGAGGAAAATTGAAGCAATGTTGTATTATACATTTATGATTTCATCTGCTTGACCCAGAGGATGTTTGGCGATGGGGGGTGGAGATAAGATCCCCCAACTCAGGCAGATGCCAAGTTCTCATCTTTGTTGTATAGGAGACAGTTTTGACATGTCCAGGAAGACTGGGGTGAGGCCCCAGATTGGGGTGAACTTGACCATTTTTTGGTCTGTCCTGTGCCAGGGAGAAAGCAGACATGGCAGCATTGTACTGGTGACCCGAATCAGGGAGGGCCTGGGTGCTCACCACCCTCCACCCCGCCTACCCTGAGGGCGTCTCAGCGGCGACACACAGGCTTGTGGTTTGCCGTCACGTTAACACTGAAATATGTAAGACCCCAGTGCTGGAGTTAGAGGCAGAGGGGTCGTTTTTCACTAGGAAAACCCCTCAGCAGCGGTGATTTGGATGTTTGCATATAATCCATTCATCAATATTGTTGAAATAACAGTAAGAAATCTAGTGCTGAAAGATCTGATTTGATAGCAGGTGATTAATTTGGAGGAGACTTGGGCAGACCACCCATGAAATAGATACCGAGGAAGGAGCCAATGCGTGTGTCCACTTGAGGACACACTCATGGGGAAAGAGCAGCAGCAAGACCCTTTTGGGGTGTAAACAGGTCGATTGGCCAGTGAATTGTGATGGCAAATTTGGAAAGGCTCTGGCCAAAGCAAAGGAAAGGAGCCACAGCTGGTTTCTGTTGAGAATTGGGGTCTCTGGTGAGGATTAGCGCTGCAGGGGACCTGCAAAGGTCCCTACAGATGGCACGGCTCAGGTACCCAGAGGAGAGGGGGTCACCCCCCATGGCATGGCCCTGGGCCAGAGGCAGGGCTGGAGAACCACCTCCTAATGTGCAGTCCAGTAAGCTTCTGTCCCAGGTCTTGACCGATCATCTGGTCAAGGCAGAAGCCATGACTCCAATAAGCAGAGAAGTGAGGAAGGGTGAGGCCCATTTCTGAACCTCCGAGGGGCTTCCCCGGTGGCTCAGTGGTAAAGAATCCACCTGTAATGCAGGAGACGCAGGTCCAATCCCTGGGTCAAAAAGATCTCCTGGAGGAGGGCGTGGCAGCCCACTCGGTATTCTTGCCAGGAGAATCCCGTGGACAGAGGAGCCCGGCAGGCTGCAGTCCACCGGGTCGCAAAGATTTGGAGACGACTGAAGTGACTTAGCACGCACCCATGAGGCGTGAGAACACTAAGGACAGGCAGCAGGAAGACTTGCCAACTCTTAACTCATGTTGAGGCTCCCAGGCTGGAATTTCATGAATGATCCTGGTCTTCAGCCGTCACCTACAAGGTCAGAAAATGCTTGTAACTTGTGAGGAGCTACCTTGAAGGCAGATGATGTGCCCCCAGAGCCTGTGTTTAGGGTATTTAAGTTACTGTCTGGAGCCACAGGGGTACATGTGGAAACCTGTCACTGTGATCCTTATGGCTGGAGGGAGTGGAGACTGTCCTAAACCTGCCCATCAGAGCAGCTTTCTACCAGCGTTTTGGTGACAAAGCAACAGAAATAACTCTGACTGCCGTCAGCAGTAAAGGAGATTATTGGAAGGGGCTTGGGCAACGCACAGAACTGCCAGGAAGGCTGGGGGACAGCAAGGCACTGGGGAGCTAGGCGGTCAGCCACAGTCCAGCCGAGGGACAGCCCAGGAATGACGCGGTCAGGGGGCAGCTGTGGCTCTCAGTGGACCCTGGGTTCTGTGTGCTGCTGAGGCCAGAGCAGATTCTGAACTCTCCTCCTTCTCTGCCCCCCTGGCCCTTGGGGCCGACTTCCACTGGCCCAGCCCAGGTTCACAGTCTGTCCCAGCTGCCAGGCTCAGCAAGAGCAGGAAGGAGGCCTTTTGGGACTCAAACACAGAGACAGGGTCTCAGGAGCCAAGCAGCCCAAAACAACCACAGACGTCTGGGTCAGAGGTCAGAACACAAGTCAGGCAGGTGATGGCGGTGGTGGTTGGAGGGTGACCAGGGTGGTATTTAAGAGCGTGAAGGGACTGAAATTCTACATTAAGCAGAGAGAGACGGAGGGGCTGGCCAGCTGGAAGGACCACGCTTGCTGGGAAACGCCCGGCGAGGCTGTGTGTTGATGCTCGTGGTGCACGTTTATAGCCAGGGCTTCCCAGTTCTCCCAGCGCCTTGGGAAGACACGGTGGCGCCTCCCTGCCTGGACGCGGCCAGGTCCCCGCATCTCCTGGCCCGCATCTCACTGGGCCCACTGTCTTCCCAGAAGCACAGGGTCAACCCTGAGTTTGCCCCCAGACTGTAAACCCCACCCCCGGCACCTGTGCTCTGTCCATGGTGCTGGTGCTGCCGCCTCAGGAGGAGGCGTTACAAGAACTTTAATCTCCTGCTGTCAATAGCTTCAAGGTAAAGTGTATCCAGGGTAAGCTCTGCAAATGTCAGCACCAGGAGCGGGCCCAGGGTCTGGGGCTAACGCATGGCATTTACTCTGCAGCTTCAAGAAAGTGCATGGGCTTTCGGGGTCTCTCTGCCCAAATAGGGTCTAATCACCAGCAGGCTGATGGCGGTACCCCAGCCGTGGGCGAGGGGCGACCCAGGCCCTGGGTAAAGACCCCCCACTGGAGACAAGTTATTTTGTGGAGGAAAATAACTCACACTGTTCCTCACTCCCACCCCCCTCGGGCTCCTCCCAGCCAGAGGCAGCCACACTCACTGACATGGTCTTTCTCTCTGTGTTCAAGGCTACCCCAACTTTGTGGCAACCTATGGCCGCGGCTACCCCGGATTTGCTCCTAGCTATGGCTATCAGTTCCCAGGTGAGTGGCTTTGTCTCCTGGGGCTTTGGGGACACGGGAAGGGGACTGCATTGGGGGGAGGGGAGCGAAGGAGAACCAGCTCATACTTACCATACCAGACCAGCCTACAGATCTAACTGGGTCAAAATGCAGTTTCTGATTAACTGAAGTGTTTCACCGGTGCTGGGTCACGGAGAATGACTTGTTGCGGGGGGGGGGGGGGGGAGGAGAACTGATGGGGAGCCCTCCGTCCTCTCCCCTTCCCCTTTCTGAAGCCGCTTCCTCGTTCTCTCTCCCTGGGGAAGGGACTGAACTCTGCGCCCAAGGTTTCCTGCAGCCCTCTGCCTCCCAGCACCCACGTGCCTTGCTGTCTGGACCCCATCTCCCTTCCCCCTCCCCTCCTCCGGCTCTGACGTCCTTCTGACGTGTGTGTTGGGTGTGGTCTCGTGTTTGTGTCTCCTCTCCGTCCTGAGTGGTGGTGGGAGGGGTGGTTAGAGTCTCCCTTCCCTCTGCGTGGACATCAGAGACTCAAGCAGGGCCCCTGGTGTTGCCCACTCACATGCCCAGGCTGCCCCAGTTCCCATGTGGCCAGGGAGGCCTGGGACCCTCACCTGGGGGCCAAGGACCCCGTAGGGATGGCGGGGAGCTGCTGAAGGAAGTGACGTTTCATGGGGCTTGCTTCTCCCTAGAGGGGGCCAGCCAGCCTTTCTCAGACCTGGAGAATAGCAAGAATGTGTTGGGGTGCTTGGGGTGTTTGTGTCCTGTGGACAGCTGGATTTCTAGAGAAGATGTTAGGATCAGAGTTCTGTTCCCTTAGGTTCTGTGCTGTGGGAGGAGGCTCTAGAGAGCTGGACTTCCACTCCTGGTTGGTCATCCTGCCAGACCCGGAGGCCTGAGCTGCAGGGAGGCCAGTGGGGCGGGACGTGGACCAGGGGGGTGGTGTTCTGAAGGCAGCGGAGATGGGGACTCATGGGGGGTGAGGGCCTCAGTCCCACCTATGCTCAGTCTGAGCTTCAGGAGGGGAGGGGAGTGATGGGGGAGGCAAGCAGGTATTTGGGACCCTGGGAGCCATGCCCTCTGGGGGACAGGTCCTCACCCAGCCACAAAACCCCTTGTCTGGCTGCCCAAGGCCACAGACAGGTCATCCAGTGTCTCGGGACCTCCCTTTTGTCTTCTGTAAATGAGAGGCTTCGGCTGGACGGTCCCTGGGTCTGACTGGAAGGGGAAGGCGGAGGCGAACAGCAGACCCCAGAGCAGAGGTTCAGGTGGCAGGAGTGAGTGGGGGACTTCCCCTCAAGCCTGTCCCCCTAGCGGGGTGGTCTCCCCACCAGGGCAGGGCCCTCGGCAGGAGTCCCTGGCTGCCCCAAGGTCGACCTCCCCACCCCTGCTCATCTGCACGTGGCAGCTCTCGTGGCCACGGGCCTCTCGAACAGGACACAAGGCATCCCAAGCCGGGAAGCCGGGCACAGTCTGCACCTCCCCGGGATTTCCCCCTACAGATGGGGACCCTGAAGCCTGGAGACATAGAAACCCTGTTCAGGGGGCTCGCCACCAGCAAGGGTCAAGGCTCGGACTGGAACCCAGGTAGCCTGGGTCGTAACTATCATACTTCATCCTCTTTCTATCATCCGTCTGTCCAGTACAATCAATTACACCAGCCACGTGAAGCATCTAAAATTTAAATTAAGTAAAATGAAAATTCAGTTCATCAACCACACTAACCACATTTCATTTACTCAGCAGGCTAGTAACTACTGTCTATGCAGAATACAGAGCATCTAATGGGTGGGACGTCACTGTTCTTTCTCAGCCTAATGATGGGCAGAGGCAGGTGTTTCTTAACACCGACTGCCTCCTCTCCACCTGAGCGGGCCCTCTCGGTGAAGCCCCCTCTCATCTGCCAATGTCCTTGCTCTGCCTAGGTGACCTGGGCTTGCCAAACACCCTTCTGGCCTCACAGCTGGTGTTAACAAACGCCTACCTCTGCCCGCCGTTAGGCTTCTATGAAAATAGAAAAGAGATGCGCCCATCAAGAGGGCTAGCCGCTTCGGATAGTGATTAGAGTGGGGAGCAGTTCTCTTCCAGAAAGACTGAGTAACGATCCACCCCTGGGGACGCGGCTCCTTCCTCCCAAGCCCAGATGTACGCTGTGTGGTCCTGCCCCTGCCCTCGTGGATTGGCGTGGGGGCTGGAATTCTTAAGATCCTGATAAGGGTCTCGCATTTCCTCTCTTTTTTCCCCTCTCTGATATCAGTTCAGTCTGTTAATTTCTGTTCTTTTTTCACTTTGCAGACTGTTGCCAGCTTCACAAGACACAGTTTTTATCAGCTAGCTCTTAGGAGAGGCGTGACAGATTGGGGTTTGCTCCGTTGCTAGAGAGAGAGCAGGGTCCCGGCCAGGGCCACCCCGGCTGCCACCAGTGCCCGTGACACTGTCCCAGCTGCCTGTTTGCACAAACGTTCTTTTTCTCACTTGTAATTTATGGGAAGGACTCCCGTCCCCAGTGCTTCACGCAGTTCTTAAAGTCAGCTTTGTCCCCCAGTCCCCTCCCAGTTTGCCTTTTGTCTGCACTGGGGGTCCCTCCCCACTGAGGCCACTCGTCACCCTCCCAGTGCAGCAGGCCAGAGGGGAGCTTTTCACGAGCTGTGTGGCGCTTCCTCACGGGAGTCTAGGGAGAAGGCATCAGCTTACTTTAAACAGTTACCAGATAGGCTTATTGGGGCGTTTCATGGATGGGCTGTTCCGTGCTGGCCCGCAGAGGTGGAGGATATGTGACTTGTCCACTGCATCCTTTGGGGGACAGTTCCAGAAGTGAACACACAGGCACACAGATTGTTCTGTAAATCCTAACGTGAACAACGTAATCTGGAAGAAAATTTGTATAAGCATTATCTGGGTGTCTTTGTCTTTTGGAGCCAGCCCCTCTGGTTGTTGCTATGATAACGCACACTCATCTCTGGGAAAGGGGCCATGGAGGCACCGTGGTGCTGCCTCACCTTAGGCCCTGTGGGCACCGTCCACCTGGGCCCTCTTTCCCAGCACCTCTGCCCCCACCTGGCTGTCCACTGGCCTTGCACTCCCTGCTGGCCTCAAGGGCCTCCTAGCCCACTGGGGTCAGAGGGGATGCGTATAGAGGGCTGATCAAGTCAGGACTCCAGAGGGCTTCCTTTCCCCATGATTGTGATCCATCCACTTCCCCACTCATGGATTAATGAGCTACGGCTCAGTTGGCCCCTCAGGAATCACCCTTCGTTCGCCCTCAGGGTTTATGAAAAGTGACCTGCGTGCTTCCATCAGATGCATTTGATGTGAGCGCATCCAGCTGTCTGAATGTCAGTGTCTCTGGTGGCTCAGTGGTAAAGAACCCACCTGCCAATGCAGGAGACATGGGTTTGACCCCTGGTTCGGGAAGTTCCCCTGGAGAAGGCAATGGCAACCCACTCCAGTACTCTTGCCTGGAGAATCCCATGGACAGAGGAGCCTGGCAGGCTCCATAAGGTCACAAAGAGTCAGACACAACTTAGCGACAAACATGCACACACATCCTTTAGACTCAACGTGTGCAGTTTGGCTCATCTCATTAAAGATGCTTGATGTCGTCATTGGTTAATTTCCTTTTATTTTTCCCGCAGACTTTTTCATAGATGCTATTTTTCAAAGTCTGTATGGCTTTTTTTCCTGTTTGTTTTGTTCTGCTATGAATTGCTTTGCTTTGGTGAACTTGTGCTAGTATAGTTACCTCACAGACGTTCTAGCCATTGTGAATTTTCTTCGTCTCTGTAAATAGTTCATCTGTGCTTCTCCCTAATAACATTTTATTTTTACCCCTGTAAGCAACTGAGGTAGAAAAATAAAACGTTTGCCATGGACGTGCTGTGTGCAGCCGTGTCTCAGCCTCACAGCGCGCTGTTCTCACTCCGGGGGAGGTGAATGCACTAAATAACTGGCACCAGTGACAGCCAGGTGTGGCCTCTGAAAGCACGTGCACTTGCCCTGACGGTCTCTGCCCCCAGCCCTCTCTGCTTCCTCTCGTCTCCTGCGCCTGCTCGAGATGGCCCTGTCCTTGAGTCATGGAGGAGCATTGGCTTGCAGCAGCTGCGTGGTCCGCTCCCCCCCCCCCCCCCGCCCAGCCCCTTCCCTCCTCTGCCTTCGCCCCCACCCCCAAGTGAAAACACCGCTGAACATCTGGAGCCCCTGACATCTGTACACCAGGTGTGTGTGAGCCCACACATGTGCTGTGCACACCGGCCAACATGTGGCTTGCACGTGGCTTGCTTTCCAAGTTCCCCTGTACCGTGCAGATCCGAGGAGGCAACTGTGTTGCTGGATGTAAAACTAGATCTCATTTCCAGGTCCCACTTGCCACGTAGCCATGTGACCTTGAGCAAGTGACCGAGCGCTCTGAGCCCTTGAGATTATAGCAGTACCTAGGTGGTTAGAATTAAGTGGGATGTTGTGTATATGCGAACGCTGAAAGTTTCGAAATAGTAGGCGTTACTGTTCTTGTTCTGTCCCTCTCCAGAATGGTTTTCACTTCCTCATCACCCCTGACGAAGCTGCCTGCTAGGGATCTACTTAGTGAAAGGAATGATTGGGAATCCCCAGGAGACTTACTGGGACTCTCTGCCTCAGCCTTCCTCATCCCTCCCTCCCCATTTACTGATCACCAGGCACTGGATTAGGTACCAAACATCTAGACATGAATAAAACTCCCTCTCAGGATGCTCATGGTCCAGCTGAGGGAGAGAGAACCAGTGATCAAACCCACTGGGCATCCTGGGACAGGTGCTTAGCTAGAGAGAGGGAGTCTTTTTCTGCTACGAGAGGACAAAGACAGGCTGCTAGTCCTGCCTGCAGTGGCACCCGAACTGGGTCTTACCAAGTGAAATAAAATGAGATGGGTAAAGAAAAGAAGAGATTACCCCCAGGCAGAGAAATGACTTGCTTAGACACTGAATCAAGTTTTTTTATTTTTTTTAAAGAAAACAGTATAATAATGGCCTTGACAAAATGAGAATTTG